TACTTATAAGTTCTTTCAACAATTGAGTCAGTTAATAAACACTCGGTGGTTAACAGTATTTATAATAAAACTAGATTATTGTGACCTAAATTGGATTAAAATGGATTAAAGATCGACACACATGACTCGACCCAGAACTTTATGGTGTTCGGCTCTATTCATTCGAATATGAAATAGATTAGAACTTCCTTTGTTTGTGGTATATTACCTCACGGAATAAGGCGTATACCATAAAAAATTACAAGATTTTAATAAAAAAGGATCAGGAAAAAGAATTACCAACAGTATTTTCCTATGAAAAAGGAAATTTTTTTGAAGAAGCGTATTTTATTTAGGGTTCTTTGGTATTATTATTAAATGTGTTATTGATTTCCTATCAACTTGAAATACACATATAGTATATATAAATAAATAACAGATTCCAATAAATAACTTACTGAGATTTATATGAAATCTTACTACTTGTGTAAATTTGCGCCCTAAATCTATTAAATCTCAACAAAAATAGGGGATGTGAAGAAAAACTGTTAATATTTTTAAAATCATCGTGTTGAGAGTATATAAAAATGATGGCAATATTAGATATGTTGAGAATCTTATTTTATTTGCAGTAATTATTTCCGTGTCATATAAACCATAGTAACAAAATAAAGTGATGGTGTGTAGCAAGCTTCGTTTTGTGTAGCAGCACTATTAGGTGTTATTAAGTGTAGTTAGGATTGGGTATATGTTCTACGAAAAATTTAAGCATATTAAAAGGAAAAAGTTGAAGGAAGGTGTGTTATAGACTTACTTATTCTTTATCATAGACATATCTGTGTCTAATTTCATGAACTTTCATCCGTTTCCGTTTATTTCAATCTCGGTACAGTTCCAGTTCTCACAAAACAAGGACAACTCTAGTGCACTATATATAGAAAATTACTTTTAATATAAAAAATTACGTTTTCAATGGTTTTATGTTGAAGATGTGTGGGAGCTGTAGGATTATCCTTTATGGATAACACTTAGGGCATTACTACATTGAATGGCAATTGCATTCTAAAGTTTGTTAAGGCAAAGTAACGTATGGTTGTGTGATATATAACAGTGCTTTTTTTACATTCTTTATAATGACTATTGTGTATAACTTATTAATTATGGGTTGTGTGCTATATTACAGTGCTTTTTTTTGATGTATTCTTATATAAGTCCATAGCCTTAACGACCTGATTTAGCACTACCTAATTTATTTAAACAATTTTTTTTTGAAATTTAATTGTTTACGTATAAATTATTCTCTTATTCATTATCTTCGACAGCCTTTTTTTTATCTATTGTCAAACATAAGTTCATAGTGTCGTAAGTTATTTTCATTTTTATGTTAATTAAAATAATTTCGTTAATTTTTAAATTACTTTAGCATAATGAAAATTCCATAACGTGGCGAAAATTATCTTCAAGTATTTCACGAGTAGATAGAAATTTGCTTGTGTGTGTCTTAGTTGAGCTTTAAATAGTGTCTATGTAGAAGATTAGCATGGGTAAGGGGCTTTGGGGTATTGGGGCGTAGGAGGTGTGTTGGGAATCGTGTAGTTGCTCCTATTGAGGCAAAAGTTTGATTGCAAAAGATGCGTTTAAGCATCTTCATTGTTGTTGTTTGCTATGCAGTGTTCTGGAATACCACGACATTGCTTGAGTGTTGTCTACATTTTCGTTAATTTATTTTACATTGGAACCTGGCTGCATCTTCCTAGTGGATGTTGCTGCCTCTTTGAGAAAAAATTGAATTCATGTTGCACATTTGAAAAACTGGTTTTTCACTTTTTTCCTTCAATGGCATTAAATATAAAAAAGGAAAACTAAACCCAAAGCAACATCGGAGCAGCTCAAAATGAAACTGAAACTCGTAAGTTTCGGAGTTGATGCACTTTCAAAGGGCTTTGCTGCATTTTTGCTGACGACCTGTTTTCAGTTTTACTACTTTAAGTTTGAGGTATAGTTTAGGTTTTTCGGTGTGTTTGGTGTTTGTGAGATTTCCATCACATTTTATCTATTCAATTTAAAATTAATTGAAATTCAATTATTAGCTTAAATGTTTTTCTTTATAATTGAATTGGTGAAATAAAAGCATTTATATAGTAGAACAAAATGTAATAGAAAATTGTGATGTGAAAAAATCTATATATTATTATTCATTATGTGATATCAAACGATTTGGTTAGTATTATGTATATATTTAAATAATAATGTGGTACATACCACCACAGCAATTAAATGATTCAATTAAATATTTTATTGCAATACAATCCAGAAGTAGAGTTATTGAGGTGCAGACTTGGGGATTGCATAGGTTAACGAAAGAGCAACTTTGTATATATATTGTACCTTTCTATAAAAATAATTTTATCAAAAGAGAGATTTCTGTTATAATCTATTATGAATATTATCTAAAATTTATTATTATCGATGTACTATCAGTTAATGACTCCGTACTGACATTGGTGTAATTCAAGAAAATTAAAAAAAATTGTCAAATGTTATTAAAACACGAACAAATGTTGTTAGAACATTAATTAATTAATAACAAATATTTTTTGAAATAACTTCCAATAAAACAGCTCCATTAAAGTCTGTATCGATCAAGTTTTTATTTAAGTGGTTTAGTAAAAAAAATGGACAAATGTATAAATTGCAACATGTTGCTTGAAATTCCTTTTTCTTTAACAACTTCCATCGGTGCCTTCAGTATGTATAATGGAATATATATATTTGCATTGAGTTTACTTATGATATATAGTATAATTATGTACCCCTATCTGATGTAACAAGATGTTGTTACTATCTGGATGGGGATAAACTTTTTGTGGGACTGTGTTGCCCAGTTTTACTCATATGTCAGGATAAAAATATATTAGGATTAAAGTTGTTAACTTGTTAATAATAAAAAAACACAATCTGACCTTTATGAAGCAGGCAGAATGTCTACTACTTCCTTAGCAACTTGTATTCAGCGTGTTCAAAGATAAGTTAATGCCACAGCAGTTCTGCTTCATTGAAGCATTTGATCTTCGTGTTTTATATATATAAAATTATTATTATTATTGTTATAACAACAATAATAATATTAACAATGATAAAAAAACGTTATTTAAAATTACAAGTAGAAGATATAATTATGAAATTTAGCACCTATGTTATGTGTCTTCTATGTGTTATCTCAAGTCAAACAAAAAGAAATCTAACGACAATCATTAAATACTTTAAGTAATATATTTACGAAGTATTAGATACAATTATGGACTTCTGCGTTTGTATCATATTACTTTTTATATGTTGTCCTAAATTGTTTTCTATATTATAAGTAACTTTTCATATTCTTTCATATTCCTTGATTCAATTGTCAAGAAAGCTTATACTATATTTTATTGTTTTATCTTTGTAAGCCTTTTTAAAATTTTGATTATTTGAAAAAAGCAGTATATCTTTTCTCTCCAGTTATTCTTCGGTGTTTTGCTAGGTTTGAATGTGCCTATACAAGCACCGATAATACTGAACGTTCTAGTTTTTTTTAAATTCAGCAGTTATTTTTTAAAACATAATAAAAGTTTTAAAAATGATGTGGATTAATTATGTCTGATATCAACAATTTGTCCATGAAGAAGTTTTTTTGAAAGTGGATACTGTATCTGAGAAAGTCCATCATTTTTAACATGATTATGAACACCAAGGTACTCTTAACACACGTATAAATAAAATGCGTTGATAAACGCTCTCATCAAAATTCCATGGGATACCACCGGTGTCAATTACAGCTAAACGTTTGGATATAGTTTCATTAGAAGGGAATGAGGACCATCCTATATCTCTAATGTTCTTTAAGTCTCAGCGACCAGTTAAGAAATGTACTCCGCATCGAATGAAAGTAACTGAATATAAGTATGTTATTCTACTGGTGTAACTTTGGGTTATAACCAAATGAAATGAAGTTTTCATTTGTTAGGATAGCCGTAGTTATGAGCCCTGACCCCGTGTTGCCAGATTAACACCATCGATCGTGGGCCACAAGTGAAGCTAACTCACTACTACATAAAGTCCAAATAGTATCAAGAGATGTTACTGTCTTACGACAGACATACAGGTCTTACTTTCCCGCGGGTGTACTGTATGTGACAATGTTTGAAATTGCATCAAAAGACGAAAATAATCAATAACGAAAAATGTATGGCTTGATTAAAATAGAAAATTCTGAAAAAATGAACTCCAAATTAAAATTCTCTTTCGCTAAGACTATTCACTATTTCACTAGGTAAACTTGTTACCATTGGACTGCGTCCCCATCTGGTTATTTATTTATAATATATATATTCATTGAAATTCTAGAAAAGGAAATGTTGTAAGGGATTTTTTTCTGAATGTAATTGACTTTTGCTTGAAGTTGTCTTAATCGGTCATCATACGAACTTATTGAGTAATATTTTGTAATACACTATTTGTCAAGGTTATACAAAGGTGTTTAAAGCTCTGTTATCTTCTATAGCAGATTACAATCAAACAAATACTTTGTCTTTAATACAAGCAAAATAGTTTTTAGATTTCAAGATGGGAAACTAGAAGCTTAAAAATGGATCATTCAAACATTTTTTAATTACTTTGGTTATTTAAAATAGATACATATATCTAACACCCAATATTTAAGTTTCTTAACTTTCGAACAAATAGGATAAGGTAGTGCTATTCTCGGTGGTTTTTATTTTAAGACTTTTGTTTTTAAATATTTAAAACAGGTTATATTTTCTTCACTTCTTAAGTATATTTATTTGATTACTGTTATTAAGAAAATTGTAATCCAATCACATTATACGATGATGGAACTTTGAAAAATTTCTAAACTAAAATTTATATAAAGAATAAAGTCACTTTGAAATATTAATTAGACTATATATATTAGACTATATTTTAATAAATTAAGTAATATTTTAGTATAAATTATAATGTGTAATTCTTTTTATTTCAGATTTTCTGGAACGTGAAGGAAATAAAACAAACACGATTGTTTGTAGATTTGATAAAATTTCTAATACAAACAAGTATATAAAATTGTAACTATAACACAAAAAAGCAAGAATGGCTGCAAGAAGTCATCAATATTTCAGCTTACGCTGGAATAACTACCAGAACACCATGACCTCAGTGTTTCAACAATTGCGGGAAGATTTGTCATTTGTCGACGTGACATTATCATGCGAGCATGGCTCTTTGAAGGCACACAAGGTATATTTCATTTGTTTTTATCTTTGCGAAAAAGACTAAAATCCTTTTCAAATATTTTCTATTAGGTTGTGCTGTCGGCTTGTTCTTCTTATTTTCAAAAGTTGCTTTTGGAAAATCCATGTAAACATCCAACAATTATTTTACCTGCCGACATCATATTTACAGATTTGAAAACAATCATTGATTTTGTTTATCGCGGGGAGATAGATGTTACTGAATCCGAGTTACAGGTAAGTTTTAGAAATGAAACAATTATATTTTCGGGTATGTCATTTAAGGATCCCATAATCCCAGCTCAAGTAACTGAAATTTTCATTGTATTAAAAGTAGGAGTTCTATTCTTGGTACTAGTCATTGAAGTTGATAGTTATTGTTATTTTTGACGAGTGTGATAAAGCAATTACTATGAAACTCTTCAAATAACTAATTATGTTTTATACAATATTTTTTAAAGTGTAGAATATTCGTGGAAATGTTTTTATGTATTCTTATATTTTTCATTGAATTTCTTGTAAAAATCTATCTGTATTAAAAGTATTAGTTGTTTTGGTTAAAACTTTTTTTAGTCAGGGAATACATAAGAAGTTATATTATATTTATAATGTTATTGGGTGGGAACTCATCACTGGTTTAGTAAACCCGCACATGTCTTCCTCACTTCAATTCAGCACAAGTCCAAAGTAAAAATAAACCATATCTTTATCCATTCAAGGATGTTTCAATAGATATATGTATATATATTTATAGAATATAAAAGAAATATAAATATAAAATAATTTTAACATTCTACACAATCTGCTAGTACAAAGTGAGAAAAAACTTGATTTATGCATTTTGATAAGATTTGCACTGCAGTTAAGTAGACTTTGCACATCACATTTTTTTAAATAGACTGATTACGAATACAGTACACGCTCACAGAATAGAACCACTTTGTTCTTCGGTTAAAAAAGTAATTAAAATTAATTCAAAAATAATATTATCATTTGCATTTCTTTAACAAAATTATAAGAACTCGATATACTATATAAAAATGGAAATAAACAGGGTACCAGCTCCCAACAGACCCTAACCGAACAGAAGAGATTTCGCCTTCCGAATGAAAGCCAGAATGTCAACTTTCTAATGTCAGAAAGGGAGAGTAGTTCTCGACAAAGTGACCTCCTCCTGGCCCAGATCAAAGCTGGGCTGTCACAAAGAATGTGACTGGAAGTCTTGTCTGCTTCTAAGTAGAGTCGACTTATATTATACAAAGTAATCCATGATATTTTTCGTTTTGGATTAATTTTTGAATAAAAAAGTCATTATGTTGTGGCAAAAGATTATCCATTTGCTTAAGAAGAAATAATTCATTCCATTAGAAACATATAACTAAGTTATAAATGTTTTCGACAGTCATAGAAGAATAATGAGTGTAGTGGCTCCCAGTTTTCAATTTTATGTTGTTCTTCTCTAGCGTACAAGGAACTAGAAGGAAATAGATGACAAGTAAAAATTTTCTGAAACTAGAACCAGAATCTCAAATTTCAGAATATTCGATGCATGACGAAATGAGGTTCTAATTTCGGAATGTCTTAATTTCTAAAAGTATCATATTTTTTATAAAAATGACAGTCCCAAAATAATGAAGTCTAGCATAGATCGCTATTACGGAAAAAATTTATAAGCTAGTTCTTATATTAAAAAATTTACTACTGTGAAATTAGCTGTTTTATGGATGTACCTATAGTATCTATGGTATATATATTATAAATATATTATTTATATATATATTATTTATATATATATTATTTATATATATATTATTTATATATTTATTTATATATATATTTTATATATATATATTTTATATATTTATAAGTATTTATAGTAAATACTCTGTAAATAATATTTACAATAAATTTACTATATAAACTATTTAAAAACGTTTTTTTGAATGATCACTTTTTCAATGAATGTAAAGACTTGAATATCTAAATATGACATCAAAATTTTGGATAATAGTTAAATTTCCGCATATGACAATATCTAATAAACAGAATCATATATAGATTGAATTTTACCATTATGGGTAGATTACAATAACAATATAATGTACTCCTCTACCATAATTACAATACTTTTTAAAATTGAAGCTAGTTAATGATTAAGAAGCAATTTAAATCTTATAATTTAAATATAACATAACATATAATATATTATATGTATGATATATTTATAGGTTTTTTGACCTATTATAGAATTGATTAAATAGTTGTATTGATTCCTAGTGTGATATACAGCATGGGGAATACATGGATTAGTGATGGCGTATATGTATCAAAGTTGGTAAGAGAATGAGGAATGGCACAAGAGTAATTAAATTTAGCTTAGATTAAGAAGAAGAAAGTTGGTTGTCACTTCAATAGAACAGAACTTTAAATCACTAGAGTTCAAGTTGAAATGTATGTCTATATTACGAACCGGAATTAGTTCGGTGAAAGCATGTGGAGAAGAGTTATAGCTAGGGTATACATTTAGAATGGGCGAGGTTATGTCTGACAAGTTAATGTCACTTGATCTTGATTTCAATTGGGTAAAAATTACTTTTGCTGAACGAGAAACACATTTTTCGTTTCTAGATATTATATAAAGCGATAAAATATCATAAGATAAGAAATACAACATAAGATCTCTGGTAGGGATTAAGAAGCTGCTCTATTAATATTACGATCAGATGTTACAATCAGTACATATTAACTTCTTAAAATTTTATTTTGAAAATTTATTGGCATGGTTTACAATTTGGATTCAGGTATTGCGTATTCGTTTCTATAATAGGGTAAAATAAAAATAGTTGGAACAATCCCTTTTTCTTATGGATCGACAGAATATGCCATATATATAAGAAAAGATTTCAGTAAAGTCTTCAATTTTGAACAATTTTTTCCACTAGTATATATAACTATATATATTATAGTAATTATAGTAATATTTATGGATGTAAGAACTATAGTGAATGTTTATAGAGAATATAATAATCATATCCATATATAATCTGTTTGGGTTTGAGTTAAATATGTTTGTCTGTAATGAACATATACTTTAATTTTTCACTTACATTTTTATTTTATTCTAATAGAATCCTATTTATCTATGTTATAAAGCATTAAGTATTACATTGTATTATTGTTATGGGACTGTAGCACTGCGAACGTAGAGTCCATTGTGCCCCCTTCTGGACTTAAAGTAGCTCTCTAGCCATGTTGCGTCAATAAAAAGTAGTACAGAACCTACTTTATAGAGTATTACGTTATGTACATTTTATAGCACGTTCTACTTTATGAACATATATTTTCAAATCTCTTTATATATGTATATATCATTTATACACAATTTTTTTTTTTCATATTTGTAGTGCAATTGCTAGCATATTGGTTTATGATTATTTTAATCTATTTATTTTAATTATGTTGAGTATTGACTGCATGTGTGAGTAAAGTGTATGAGTTTGCTTTGTAATTAATACGAATCTAACTAAGTAGAGCTTAATTATTTATATAAAGGATATTGAGAGTTGTGTAGTATTATGTCTATCGGTAATATATTGTTTCAGTACTTTCAGGACTTTGGGAATTATGGATTTATTTGTTCTTAATTCTCACTGACATTCATTTAATTCATAATGTACTTCTGTTTCATACATAGTAATATCTGTTAATATTTTTAATTTTAACAATTTGATTACTATCCAATATTTTTAATATCTACAAGTTCATCAATTTAAATTTCAAAAATGCATAGGCCGAGATATTATCTATAATTGCAGAATTTGACACAAATCGCAACATTACTGTTTTGTCGTTCTTTATTGGAAAATATGATTTAATGGAATGTTTTCCAATCATAATATTTAAATTGCTCTGAATTACCTGAATTGGCGCTAATATAGTGATAACGCTTATAACCGGACAACAACATGATCTGCAAATTTTGTTCAATTTAGAAAATTGTTCGCGGACTTTGTATATAAAATAAAAACTGCGGCTAAAAACGTTGCACGTTTAAGGAAAATATGTCTTAATGAAGGCTCTCTATTTGTTAAGTTTACACCATACTTGTATTATCAATATGTCTATAAGTAGATATATGTAGGTCATTAGACATAGGTCATTAGATATTGTGGTCTCCACAATATGGGAGAGATCATATTGTGGAGACCACTGAATTGAGATAGTGTTACTTATCTTGGTACAATATTTAACAAGATTTAATATTCGTAATCTGTATTAAGATTCAATTTGTTACCGAAAATACTTAAGGCTTATCAAAAGAATAAGAGAATAAAAGACTAAAACGTATCAAAAGAATACCTATAAATACCTAAATACGTATCAAAAGAATACCTATAAATACCTAATTCTTATATTTTCTTGAATCGTTTAAAAGATTTAGTTTAACATATTTATTTTACTGCCGTTACTCGTCTATGCTTTGAAGACCCGTCCAGGAATAAGTGGTTATAACTTTCCTCTTCAGTAGTGGAAACTTTAAGTTAAAGTTTGCTTTAACTTTTTTTGTTATTAATATTCAATATTCTCAAACTCTTTAAACATATTGAGCTCTACAACTTATTTAATTCAGATTTCTTGAATTTTAAGTCATTTTGTTGCGGCACTCATTAAAAGGTCTCCTTTCTCAAACGTCTCTCCGATATCACTAACATAGAGATTAAAGACCTTGTTTTAAAGTAAAGTGGTTTTCCGGTCTAAAATATATTAACATAAGGTTTTTAGAATAGTTTGCGTGCCCTTGTAAATTGTGATAAGGCCTAGGTCGACTTTGTACTCAAAGTCCAAATAATGAACTCCATTAATGGTTTATTGTTGTTCTGACCCTCTGGGACCTGCTTGATGAAGTCCTTTTCGGAGGTGTTGAACGGCACTTGGTCGTCACTGGCTACGAGTGGTTCCGGCGACGACCAAGTGCCGTGAACCTGGCCGTTCTTGGAACCCGTTCTGTTTTAATATTTGGCTATCTACTTTGAATTCAACTTTAGTCAATATTTTAAAATTTGTAATTTTATTTTATTTTTTGGTAATAAAATGTATAATATTTACGTTTCATATATGTATTTTATGGTGTTGTATAAGAGTCGTCACTTGAACATAAAATGAATTTGTATATATTTTTTAGTCCTCTTATTTTTATTGTACTGTATGTACATACAGAATTGTATAATTATAAATATATTTATTGTGTATTTATTATTATTAATAATTATACATATATTTATAATATTCATTTATATATTTAAAAATTTTTCATTTAATTTTCATCGTCAGACTATGGTATGCGATTATCTGCAGCAATATTGAAAAATGTTGGCGATGTTTTTTTCTAC